AGCGGGGGCCCGTGGGCAAAGCGACGTAGGAGGCCGGGACGGGGAGGGAAGCGGCGTCGCTGGCGCTCGGCGGTTAGCTGTAACCGCTTTTCTCGTGACGGTCGAAGCATGGCTCTGGAGCGGCATGCCTTCCTTAAACCTGGGGCCCGGCGCTGCGGTGCCTCCGGAGGTAGGAGCTGTCCGGTCACTTTATAGCCCTTCACCACTCCGGGCAGCTCAGAAGCCCACTTTTGCCACGAGGAATTGGAATTGTCCAAGAGGCTAAATCAAATACCCTAAAATCTAATCAGACTGAAACAGTACTGAAACAAGTAGCCGGTTAGCAGCAGTCTCTGCGAGAGAGCAAAGGGAGCCCAGGCTTTCAGGTTTTCCTGATGCACGTGAGTGGGAAGGTGCCTGTCAGCTGCCGCTCTGACATGCTTAAAAATGGACTAGAGGACTTTAATTGCTACCTTTCTTTAAAATTTTCTGTAACGATAAACATCAGAGTCTTGTTTTTCGTTTACTTTTGAAGGAGCTGAAGTTGTGTTTTCTGTGGACTGCACCAAGCTGAAGGACTATTTTTTACCTGAAAAAAGAGAGTTTGACTGTATTTATTTCAACTTCCCTCACTGTGGGAGAAAGGCTGGGGTAGTGAAGAATAGAGAGCTGCTTGCCCACTTTTTCCATAGGTGAGTAAACCAGAAGTAGTTCTGTGCTAATTGCTGTGATACAGATTTCTAGCCGTGTTTTTCTGGCACTATAAAAAGCTACAGGTGTTTTTCTGGCACTATAAAATTTCTGGATGTGCTAGCAGGATTTTTCTTGTTGCCTGGCTTTCCTTCCAGCTCTGCAGAAGTGCTGACAGAGGAGGGAGAGGTCCATGTGGCTCTTTGCAATGGACAGGGTGGGACACCTGCTGATCAACCAAGGAGAGAATGGCACAACAGCTGGCAAATAGTGGCTGTGGCAGCAGGAGCTGGATTTATCTTGAGTGACGTTCATGCTTTTAAAGCAGAGACTATCCGTGGATATAAGTGTACAGGCTACAGGTAACCATCATGTGGCAAAACTGAAAAATTGATATTTGTGGTCTTATAATGCCTAGCACTAGTATGTTCTTTTAGTATCTTGTTTGTTGGAGAGAGGAACTCCCTTTAATTTTACTTAAAATAGCCACAGTTCTTTTTTGCCTCTGAGCAGAATAGCCAAGATAAAAATGCAAGCCTCTTGCGAAAGTGTCCTCTAAAAAATAAGATTATCTTAGGATTTTAAAGGTCAAAATGGTCCATTTCAGAACAAATGTCAATCTTGGCCGAAAGACAACAGGAGGACTGTGGTATGTGTATCTGCTTAGCAGGCAGTCACAGAATCACAGCATGGATGATGTCAGCAGGGACCTCCAGCAATCATCTAGTCCTACCCCACAGCTCAAAGCAGAGCCAGCTAGAGCAAGTTGCTCAGAGCCACATTCAGTCTCCAGGGATAGAGACTGTACAGCCTTTCTGTGCAACTTGTTCCAGCGTTGGACCACCTGCCCAGTAAAAATATGGTAGTGTTGCATTTTTGTCACCTTGTAACGACCTGGGATTCAACAAGAGGTGTGTTAGTGTTACACAGAGTTACTTGTGACACATTAAATACAAGAAACAATCAATGGCTTTGCTCTGCTTTTGTGTATTGTCAGGAGTCAAGATAAACCTTTCTGTGTAGAGGGTGCTTTAAACCACATTTTCACACGAAGCATGCCACTTCCGTATTTCAAACCTACCATCTGCAAGATAGAACTGGAAAGCCGAAAAGTTTCTTTTCAAGTGCCACAAGTACTTGTGGATAAAATTGATAGGTAAGTTTTATAATTAGTTTCTGTTTGGCAATAACACACACTCCTGCTTTCAGTGGGAATGACCAGCATAGGTGTCAGATAAAATGGAATTGCTTCACTTTCCCTCCTTTTCCCTTTACAGAATTTCCTGTTCCATTTCTTCTTCAAGTCTGCTTCATGTTGGCTTGAGGTTATGGCCTACTTAAAAACAAGTCAACAGAACAAAAAGAAACTTTATGGTTGATACCAAGCTGCTGTATACTTGAACGCACAAATAAAGATGAAAACTTTAATCTGTTTTACTGTACTGTTGAAGAAATTCAGGAGCTGACTTAGTGTCTGCTAATACCACAATACTAAGGCTAGCTAGGATAAAACATGCTAACCTCTCAGGGGAACTGCTGCGTACTTCGGGGACTATCCAGGGCTAGCATAATTTGATTAATTTCCGTAGTTTGGTAATGCCAGTGCTGAGTGGAAGTGGTGATGCCTGTGCTGATTGTTAAGTCCCATTCCTTTTTTACCAGCAAAAGTGCCATTAATTCTTGATTGCAACCTGGAGACAAACACCACTGTCCTGAAAATGTGTTAGCCATTGCAACACCTTTGATGAAAGGCATGGCTTGTTCAGGTAGTTACTAGAAACTGGCTTAATATCTGAGGTTGTTTTGGTTAAATTGCTGCACTCAAATTATGATCACAGGAAGGCATTTCAGGGAAATCTGTTTAGTGGTGTCTGTAATTTGCACTTTTATTTTTCACAGGGGTTTCCTAGAACTAAATTCAAATCATCCAGTACGGACAGTAAAGGAGAAGCTCACTGCAGAGCTCAGCCAAGCCTTTCCGTTACAAAACATTGACTGCTGCCTTTCTCTGCTCCACCAAGGTCACCTCAATGGTGTTTGTCACTCAAATATCTTTTGGATCATTCTGAACCCAGAGGAGACTCCAAGCACTGAAGAAATGTCTAATGGACTGGCAAATGCAGTTTTATTTTCCCGTGTTGATTTTTGCAGGGACACAGATAAGAATGGCTGGGTGAATGTACAAGAGGGATGCCACATTTCAAAACAGTATTGTCTTAGACCTTCCCTTCTGCCTTATGCTCAAGCAATAATACAAAGAGGAGCCTTTCTCCCGGGGACACTTCATGTTCTTTCTGGCCCAGTTTTCAGGAAGTGTCTTATCACTCCTTACTCCATGCCTGTTTTTCATGAGATGGTTTTTGTTTGTGCAGTTAACAGGGGTACAGAGAACAGCTGTATCCAGATGTTGGTGAATAACATTAAAACCAGCATACATTCTCTTCTTCACCAGACTGTTTCCAGCTTTAAACTGAATATCAATCTCCAGGAAGAAGTGAGCTTTGAAACAACTGAGCTAAATAACTTTGCTGCTTTTGAATCTCAGCTTAGTAGAATTCAGTACTTCATCTGTATGGAGATAGATGCTTCAGGCTCCTGTGAGAAGGGCTCCTGTGTGGGAATTATAAGGACAGCTCATTATGAACTAGTAAGCAGTGAGTTGGTTGTTGTCTTTGCTTCATTGAATCTTGACCTCCTAGCTATGCTGATCTGTGGAATACCTGACTGGCGAATGCTCTGGACATCAGACACACGGTTCCTCCGTCAATTTCCTAGAGGAAAGTTAAGGCTTTTCAAGAGTTTTTCTCTCTATCCACCTTCCTACGTGCATGATGTCAGCTTTTGGGTTCCTGATGGGGAACAATTCGATGAAGTTGCTTTTCACACCATTGCTAGGCAGGTGTCAGGTGAAATGGTCGTATCTATCCGGTTAATCGACTGTTTCCACTCTGCTACAGGCTGACCTTTCAGTCCTGTGACAAGGCACTGAGCCGCCAGAAGGTGGCAGAGATGCAGCTGCTCTTTCGGAAGGAAATAAACCAATGTTTGCGTGTAACTCTTCGGTAGGGCATTGTATGTTGTTTTCAGGTGCCCGAGCAGTGTCTGCACTTGTTGCCGATCTGGAAAATGTGGCCTACATCTTGCTGGACCTAACGCTGTGTGTTATTGCAGCACCTCTTACAAAGGCGGTGTGGACTTGAAGTACCTGCACACATTCTAAATGTGGAAATTCCCATTAATGAAGACCAAGCACCTTCCTGTTCTGCGTGTGTGTAATGAAATGTCATTTTTAAAAGTGGAACCTTTCTTTACTAGGGTCCTGTGAGACTGGACTTTGTCTCCTTACTGATGCCAATTCACTTTTCCTATTCCTTGCTTATGTTTGCCCAGCGCCTCGTACTGGTGGCGTTTGTATCGAGTACACCGAAAGAGGGAGGATCTTACTATTTCCAAAGGGTTGTGTACAGTCTGAGCACTGAAAACTCTCTGCACAGGTGCTCAGTCCCTGTGGGAAGACGGCGTGTGCTGGGCTGCCAGTGCCAGGCGTGCACCTGGTGGGGCCCCAGCCGCATGCACCAGCAGACTATTTTCTGGTCTTTAGAAAATAGAAGTGCACCAGCAGACTATTTTTTAGACGGCGATCACAAATGGCAATTCCATTGCTAGATTCCAAAGGATACTAGCTGATCCTGAAAGATAGCTGTAGCACCGGTAGTGCGTTAATAGCTACAGCAGATGTAACGGCTGACAGAGAACTCCAGTAACCAGATTCCGAGTTACTGGAATCTGTAGGGTTACGCTGGGGAGAGGTATCAATAGCACGGTGGACACTAATAGGTCTGTCTTTTACACGTCGAAGACTCTAGGACCTGAGGTCATTGCTGACGCTGTAGCAACTCCCAGGTTGCGCTAGGTAGTTCATGGCTGCCGCAGACACTGAGACGTGCTACCAGGTAGTTCTGTTAGACTCTTCTACCAGTAAGTAACTCTGCAGCTGGAAAATCTACACCTGAATTCTCACAGTGGAGCCCCCAGGGTCTTCGGGAACGAAATAAAAGTCTCCCAGTGCTCAGTGCAAGAGTCCGGTGGAGCCGAAGGAGGGTCTGTCAGATACTGCCCCATCCCGTCAGTTGCCGACAGACTCCGTCGCGTCCGCCACCGGCGCCGCGCCCCAGCGCAGCCGAGTCG